TCCTGACAGTAAGGGCGGTTCGACAGTGGAACACACTCCCTTGGAGTGCGGTTGTGTCTCCTTCTTTGGAGGTCTTTAAGCAGAGACTGCATGGCCATCTGTTGGGGATGCTTTGATTGGGAGTTCCTGCATGGCAGGGGGTTGGACTGGATGGCCCTTGTGGTCTCTTCCAACTCTATGATTCTATGATTCTACCAAAATTTGTGGATGCTCACGTCCGACTAAATACAATGGAACAGTAAAATGGTGTCCCTTATATAAAATGGCAAAATCAAGGTTTGTTTTTTGGATTTTTTTAAAAAATTCAAACCATGGATGATGTTATCTGTGGACACTGAGGACCAACTGTACTTCATAAACTGTTATATCATCTACCTTAGTCATAGCTACAACATCATGTTCAAAACATAATAGGTATGAGTTTTTAAAGCATTCATTTCAGCTGCAGCAAATAAAGATAAGAAGATTTTTCAGCCCTCATGGAGGCCAGCAACACATGTTCTTGCCATCTGTGGTCTAATTAACTACAGCTCTCACTAGCTGCTTAGAGATAGATGATTTAAGACAAGAAATGAAATGAAAATTGGTATAAGCAGTTCTTTAAAATAGATCCTTGCTTTTAAGACACTTGTGCTTTAACATGTAGCAGCAGCAGCATACTACTTAAATAGAGAAAATAGTTTTCATAGAACAAAATGTAACAACCTAAATTCAATCAGGATTTTAATTCAAAAACACAGCAGTTTGGAAAATCAGTATGCCCAGACTTCAGTCTACAAAAGCTCATGCTACAAACTTCTCTCTTTCAGTTAGTCAGAGATCCCTCTGCATAGAGTATTTTAAAAGCAGTGTATTTGATTCTTAAAATAAGAGATGGTTTTGTGCCACTATTTGAGAAGTTTGAGAAGATCCCACAGAAATTTACCCAGACATGTTGATGAGCTTTCACAACAGTGCTATTTGCTATATAAAGTTATTTCATGGTTTTGCAACTTAACTTATGTACCTTCAACTTGCCCGTCAACTTATGGCAACCCGATGAATTTCACAGGGTTTTCTTAGCAATGAATACTCAGAGGTAGCTTTGCCAGTTCCTCTGAAATATAGCCAATAGCACCTGGTATTTGTTGGCGGTCTCCATTTCCATGTACTAACCAGGGCAGACCCAGCTTAGCTTCCAAGACTGGATGGGATATAGTTCCTTCCCTTACATTAGCCTAACCTATCATGTGTAAATCCATACTACTCTTATCTGGGTTTAATTTACTTTCAGAGGATTCTTAACTGAGGCCACAATCTTCAATACATTTCTTTTAAATCCAGCTGAAAGTGAGGGAAGCTACTTCCATGTAAAAGCATTTGGTATTATTTTTTTTTCCACTTGGACCCTTTCAAAAACAATGAAGTCAAAACAGCCTGAATATGTAAATTTGGGGGGGTGGGAAAATCATTTTCCCTGATCAATTTGTTGGCACTTGGATCAATTTGATACTGATCCCCCTGAGCAACTGCATCTGGAAGGGTGAGATATCAGGGTGAACGTGGCCATTATTATTTAGCATCAGCTATATTTAGAATTCCACTTTCACCTATGGCCAGCCAACCTTTTTTCTTTTGCTTTCATTTGGTCCAAGTCTGAGTAGCCAATTAAGCAAGCAAGGCAGAAGCATGGCAGATTTTCAGGCTTGAGCCTATCTGGTGTTTGGCACCCTCTACATCTTGTATTAGTCTGCCATTCAACTGCATAGGCACAGACTACCAGAAAAGAGAAACCAATATGACAAAATTCTGTAACCCAACGAAGGAGGTATTGGTCAAATCTCAGCTCTGTTGATTATTATTTTCATTGCCAAATATTTCTGCAGTCTGTTTTTGTGATTTCACAGAAACCAAATGTTAATATTTTCTGTGACCTAGATAGAACAGTTTATGCGCTGCTGCTATATAAGCAAATTAAGGTTCTATTCTCAGTGGTACTGGCAGCTACACAAGAGAGGGGAATATAACAATTTCATCACCATTTGTAAGAAGTAGTATGAATGAGGAAAAACTTTAAACAATTAGGTTAAAAATAACAAGGAAAGAAGCCAAGCAGGGTTAAGCCTGGTACTTGGATGGAAGACCAGCAGTGAATACCACAGATCTCCAAGGAAAGCTAGGAAAGAATTCTGTCTAAAACACAGGACAGCTTCTGCCAATCTGAGTTTACAATACTGGGCTAGTAGGCCAGTGATTATAAGCTTCCTATAATCACAGGACAATTAGGAAGAAGATTCTCTTGAATCTCACATGTTAAAACTGTTCTAATACATTTTAGTAACATTTTAAAAACCAAAATAACAGAGGGAAATGCTCCAATAACTGTACTGTGTTTACAATTTAAGAACCTAAACAAGGAATGAGC